CAAGGTAAAAAAACCAAGGATTAAATGGTCCAGTTAAGTAGAAATGAAAGAAAAAGGGGGATGTGATTTACTGGATTTCAAACTGTATTACTATGCTAGCTATATGAACTGGATAGAGGATTGTATAAAACTCAAAAATGAAAGAATGCTATGTATTGAAATCAACAACATTAGATTTAGGTGGCACACATTTATGTGGTATAACTAGCTAAAAGATAACAAAGATTTTGAGCATCATTATATAAGAAAATCGTTAAAGTGTGGATAAAAATAAGAAAGATCTTTTATAGAAAGATAACACTTTGAGTGTCCCCTCAAGAAACTTTTTTATACAAGAGCAAAAGTGACAACATGTCTTGGATTAGGTACCAAGATATTATAGTACAAGAGGGAAATAAATAATACAAAATAAAGTCAAAAGAACAACTTGGAAAGGAAGGAATCAATAACAATTGGTTTCTATATATGCAATTAAACAATAGCTTCAATTTAGATTAAAAGACAGAGGGATTTGAGGAAGGCAAGACAGAACTAGACCAAGTAATTATAGACAAAGAAGGCCATCATATAGTAAAATATTATAAACTACTCCAACAAAGAAGTTTGGAGCAAGAAACAGTAAAGCAGGTTATGATAAAATGGTCACAAGATTATCAGAAAAAGTATTGAATTGGGAAATTGGGAAAAGGTCTGGCACTTCACTAACAAATTCACATTATGTCAAGATCTGAAAGAAAATTTTCTTAAAATGATGCACCATTGGAACCTTTCATCAAATTAAATGATAGATTAAATGTGATGTACAATACTGGAAATACAAAGTGTTGGAAATGTCAAAATTATCATGGCACAATGGGACCCAATAAAAAATATGGAATAACACCTGACAAATCATAGACAGACAGATATGTTGGAAAAAAATAAAAAGAGATCAAATTTATAATATTAAGCAAAGACAAGAATTATATGAAAAATTTTGGTTACATTTATAAATTGAAAATAGTGAAATGGATAATGAAATTAGAAGACGAATTTATATAAGGATTTATGTAAGAAGTAGAAATTGGAGAAAAGATATAGTAGACGTCTTAGAAATTTTCAGTTAGAAAGAGAAAGGTAAATTTATGGTCAAAAATAAGATGAACTCAATTGGGAAGGAATTATTAATAGTAAACATTATAGTAGTTCTAAAAAGAATAGATTAATATATAGGGTATGTTTGTATTTGTTTGTATTCATATTGTTATATATATCTATGTGGGGGTAACTGTTTATGTTCATGTATTTTAACTGAATAATATCAATAAAATAAATAAATTTTGAGAAAAGGTACAAAACAGAAGAATGAGATAAGACAGCAGACAAGGATAACTGAACACAGCTGTAGTTTTACAAAGTCAGGATTAACAGGGAATGAGCACTCAGTATCCTTTAACTAATTGGTGGAGAGTTTAAAAATAATATGTCACAAGCAGCACCCATAAAATATTATGGAGGGAGGATAGCAAGGCATGATTATATTATTTTATCAAATAATTCAACAACACAACATCTGTGGGAGAGGAACATAATGAGCAGTATACACTTGTTACTTCAAAAAAACAGGGACAATTTAGGACAATTTTCCTATGATTGGCCACCAATTTATGGGCAAGAAAGTTCCACAATAACCCAGCCTGTAGTGAATCATTAATACACCAATGTGTTCTAGCTTAAATTACATGAATATTTATTCAAAACAGAAAACACTTTAAAATATTATAATTATTACAGAGAGTGGTCAGTTGATTGAATTTCACTTTCTCATGTACTTGATCATTTTTCACTGAGACCTCCCAGAGATTTGAAACATCATTATATTTATCATTGCAGTTTTTACATATTTGTGTACTTAGCTCAAGGTCAATGAGGCTTTGTAACTGCGAACATCCCTGATCAGGTCCACATGGGCCAGAATACTCTGGGGACATGCCCAGAGTATTCTTGCCCAAAGTTGTCTCAATGCCCTCATGTTACCTGCAACTCCAGAGCAAGAGCAGGTCGTTGTTCACACATATGTCCTATTGTCCCAACTGCTGCAACCACTGCTGCCATGGTTTGCTCCCTCTGAGACTGAAAACCTTTATTTATCCCCTAATTTATCCAAACTCCCTGTTCAGTCACAAGGCTTATAGCACAGAATCATGCAGGCATTCCATTTTCGGGCCTTTGCAGACTGCCAGAAATAGTGCACATTAAATTGAGGCACTGCCCTGGCTCAGTGCTAGGGAATCATGGGAATTGTATTTTTTTTTCTGAGACATTGAGCCTTCTCTGTCAGACAGCTCTGGTGCCACCATAAATTACAGTTCCCATGATTCCCTAGCACTAACCCTAACCCTAAAAGTGGACTCAATTTGCACTATTTCTGGCAGTCTGCAACCCCCCTTCCTCTCCCATTAAATCTCAAGAAAGATTTACAGTAAATGTCCAGACAACTCTGCATATTTTTCATCTTCGAGAAGTGATTATTGGGTCTTATATTTAATCATAATTACAATGATTTCAAATCAGCATGCACAATGCTCTTCATTCCTACATTATCCTTATAAATCCAGTGAGGTAGGTCAAGCTGAGAGATAGTGGCCCTTCAAGGTCATCCAGGGAGTTTCATGGTTTCACTCTTTCCTCACCCCCTGCCCCAGTTGAAATCATCTCACTGACCCATGGCTTCTTAGATGTCAATAATCCTCCCTCCCCTTTCAGAGAATTTTGTACCATGAAAATAAAGGTTTTGAGACTACTTTGTTCTTTGGTCATGGTCTTGCAGGGGAAATACTGTAGGCTCCCTTGAAGATGTGATTTTTCTCAAGTTACGCTAAAGAACTAAAGATAATGATACAATGTTCTATTTTGCTGCCTCGTGATGGAATGAGTTTGATCAAGCGCTCTTGAAGGCTATGCCAGTGAAGTACATATTCTACCAAGCTAGTGAAGCTTTGAGGACAACCTCAATGGCAGACTGCATGTCTATCATTCAAGAACAAGCCCAGCTACCTACAGGGAGGCTCCTTACCAGAAAAATGGCCACCAGCTAACAAACTGGCCATCTCAACTTCAATGATGGTATAAAATAGTTGCAATTTGCATCAATGGATTCAGAACCCATACTAATAAAATGAAAAATATTCAGCATCCAAACCTTCCAATGAATTATATTAAACATGTCACTGCCAGTTTCAGTGTGGAGACACAAATACATTTCAAAGTGTTTACACGCTACATTTCCTCTCAATTAATACTTCTCAACTTTGGATGAATAATGAATAATGAAGTGCAACACTTACCTGGCACACCAGGGGGCATTTTCAGGTACTTTCCATTAAAATGTTGAATAACTACTTCACATTTTTCAGTAGATTCCATCCTGGGGGAAAATAAAGAAAATGATTTTTACTGAACCTCTGTCACTTCACCATGATTAGGAAAAGCTACTTGATGGGGAAAGAAAACCCTCAAAAGCAAATTTTGCAGAACTTCATAACAGAAGCAGAGAGAACATTGTATTACCATACTGAATTAGCTGGCATGGTTCTGTTCTCTTTCTCAATGTATTTACATGACAGCAGCAATATACAGTCTAATTCAAATTTTGCTACTGGTCTAATGTTTCACATATGCTAAAAAGTCTAATGTTTGATGATTTCATGGAAGTGCAGAACTGAACTTCCTCAAATATAAGAAAAACAATGCAGAAGGGAAAGAAAAAACATTAAAGCTAAAGTAAGGAAAGCATTCTAAATACTATGCATGTTTTGGTTTTAAAACAAGTAAGGCATAAAAAGAAATATGTACATTATAGCTTATAAACACAAGGATTTAGTATAATAGTTTAAAAGCAAAGCAACTGTTATTTTAACATGCTTCTCCTGAGGGAAGCACCTTTCTCACCTAGAATTCTTTTCTAAGAGATTGAAAGACCATTAACTGATAAGTTGAGGGAAAGTTAACAACATACCTACTATAGATTTATAATATTCTCAGATCAAAATTACTATAATAGTCTAAAAGTTCATTTCAACGGTCTAATCCTCCAGGGGAAATGTTCACAGATAGCTTTCTGAGGTTGAATATATAAAACTGTAGTAAACACTATTGCTTCACCTACATGAAATGGAGATATAGATACTATTCAGCAGAGAATATTTATCATTGCATAATCTTGCTTCTGCTGCTTTCATAGCAAAAAACTACAGACCCTTATAGAATCCCAACTCCTACAAACAGTTTCATTAAGACTGGCCAAGATTATTTTTTAAAAAAATAAATATCATAGTTAAATAAAAACCCAGTATAAACATTATGAGAAACTAAATATTGTTACTTGTGGCCATGGAACACAAATGATAGCTTCTTCTAAAAAGTTATTCATTTTAAGATTTACTGCTTCTAATTAGATTCATAATTCTCTGGACTCCAGAGGATAATACCAACTTCAGACCAAGCCCCCAAAATGCATAATGTGGGGGCATAAAACAGTGTTTGGGTCTGAATACTGGAAAGCTTTGATTCCAGTTCAAACCCCATCTCAGAAAACAGAAGAAGGTCTAACATAATCTCACACAAGAATTAGGATGAGTAGTTGCCATCCCCTACAACTATCCTGATTTGGCAGGGGCAGTCCTGATTAATTGTTTGTTGTCCCAGTTCTTCAGCTACTCTTAATATATACCATTTTTTCTATCCTTCTCCCACTTTACCCCTTTGTCTTCAGCTTACTTCAATTGTTGCAGAGTTCAATGTGCAAAAAAAGTTTGCACTCACTTAACTCAGTAGAAGGGAAAGGAGAGAGATTGAGCAGAATCTTGCCCTTACCAGTAAAGGCAAAAACAAAACGTTGCAGCTTGTCTGTTTTTCCTCATTAATAACATTTGCCATCTTGACCCACACTCTGATATTGATTGGACAAGTATTTCCCAGTATTTGTCTGTAAAATGTTGGCGGATATGAGTTCTATGAGAGCCGGCATGGTGTAGTGGTCTGAGTGTTTGACTATGACTCTGGAGACCAGGGTTCAAATCTCCATTCAGCCATGGAAACCCAGAGGGCAACCTTGGGCAAGTCACATAGCCTCAGAGGAGAGAAAAGGCAAACCCCCTCTGAACAAATCTTGCCAAGAAAACCCTATGATAGGTTCACCTTATGGTTGCCAGTGGAATTTACTTGAGAGCACACAACAGCAACGAGTTGCAGCCACATAAAAATAGATTAGTGTATGTATTTCAGTGTCAGTGCTTGCCTTTCTTTGCCTTCTTTGCATGTACAGTGGTACCTCTACTTACAAAATTAATTCATTCCAGCAGCCATT